GTGTCTGGCAAAAATGTCCCATTACTGTGTATACTCTTTAAGGATCTGAAAGATCATCGAAATTTTGGTTAGACGTTCAGTAATACCCAATCGAGCATTGATCAAACTGGTCAAACTGAGTCAGTATTTCATGAAATGGCTAAAAAGGTAACCATGAAGCTTTTGAAATGATTTTGAATGAGGACATAGAAGACCACACTTATCCATTACAACAATGACTTATAAATTTATTAATTTTTTTTATCACAAACAAGAGACCAAATCTTCCTGAAGTTCTGTGTATAATAGCATTTATATTTATTAACTTATGTTTCTTTGTATTAATTTCGAACAGACATTACTAATTGACTGATTAATGCCTGAGTTACTTTTAGTATTTAAATAAATACTACCTACGTTGTCCCCTATTCCTTTTTGTTGCCCACAACCTGTGATTAAAGATTCCTATGATTTTGCCTCGCTAGTTTCCTTGGCTGAATACTTCATTCCACGCCGTCAGTCTCAAACAAGCAAGAGGACATTAATAACCGAGTGAACTCCATTAGTGGTAGTAATCTAAATAGAACTCACAAGTAACATTCATTTCATAACTCTTGTCACTATTTTGTCAGTCAATATATGTAGCTTAGTCTGTAGTGTTACTTTTATCTTTTTTTCTATCTGCACTTTTTATTTAAGTTTTGTATGTTATTGCTTGGTTTTGCTTAATATTATCTGCCCTTAGTATTATCGTATCTTGATTAAGTTTTGTTACGAGTCCGCCATACTACAGTCACAAGATTTATTTGTGAAACTTAATGTAGGGAAATATTTTGTCAACATTTATCTGCATATCCCCATTGCATATCCACAAGTAGAAGCTGACCCATATTTATGGAATTGTTGACATTCAATACTTATTAGTGTTTTTTAATATTGGTTTTATGTTTCATAAAAATGAATGACTTATAGATCTAGAAAAATAAGTTGCAATTCAGAGGAAAGCCTAACCTAATGTTGTTACTCTGGCTTTTTTTGTTTCGCCAGTTACTACGATTAATTACTATCCCAACTTCTTCATCTCTGAGATCCTCTAAACATGTTTATTCAAAAAAATACAAAGTGAAAATGGTTTATTGAATGACAGGAACCAAATGATAAGGAAACGTCTTCATTCATGTCTTACATCGTATTAGTTTCCAAATTTATTCGAGATGGCTTTGTAGTGTCGGTTATTATGACAAGCCCATATACCATATTCTAGCTTTCAGACAGGTCAATCTATTCATTCTACTTAAGTCATATTTTGACCTTGTTAATTATTCGCTTACCAATATTGACTGTTTTTATATGAGCGCATATGTGAGTGCCCATCTTATCCCATTCATCACATGTCTGCAACCTATTTTTGTGTACCTATAAATATTCATTAACGCTTGGTTAAATGGGAGTTGGCTTACCAGCAATCTCCATTCTGCGTCGTTCGTCTTCTCTCTATTCCATTCGCTTTATATACAAAATATATGTATTCACAAGTCCATTCTCGTTATTCGACTTATTCAATTCCGTTAATGACTAACGCGATTTAAGTCGATGATTATATACGAGGATAGGCGATAAAAAACATTCATTACGATATTCTTGGAGTCAGATCCCGGGCCACTAAAGTGGAGAGCCCTTTCAACAACATCGTTTGGTCTAAACGACGACAAAATAACAGGCCCCACAGCTTCTAAGTGTTATATTACCTAAATTGAAATAGTATTACCAACATCGCTACTGCTTATCTATAGCAGGCTACTTTTTATATATACCGATCGAGTGTCAGTTTCAAGTGATTCCCTGAATTCCTTCCCATGATAGTTCCAATCACCAAACACCGGAATCGAAGGAACGACATCTACTGCTCTTAATCATTTACACCGGCTTAACATCGCGGAAAAATATCGAATAACTAGTACGCAGTTATTGTTACATAAGGAACTCGAAGTATTCAAACATTATTGTAAATACCATCCACTTTCACTGTACTTTGTTATATCTGTTTAATCTAAGTTTTTGCTTGTTTTGTTTGAAATTTTGACCTCAAACTTTTGTTTTACATCTCCCTTTCGGTTTATCCTTCTGGAGACCCAAATGTTGAGGGTTTGCTATAAAACTTATTATTTTACCTGTTATGTGGGAAAACAGTTTGATATTTCACAAGGCAAGATTGAATATTTGGATCCCTGAATTTCATTTTAATCGCTATTTGATTGAAGGTCCCAACTTTACGGAATAGATGTGATTCATAAAAGCTCATGATCAAAAATTGGAATCTAACTTTTTTACTAAGAATCTTGAAGATTCAATGTACCTCGAAAAACAAAGTTAGAATATTTGTCACTTCCGGTTAAATCAGAGCAACCTCCTCATGACGCTCATTTACTTATATATATTGTTACTTACCCCAGAATGAAGGAACATTTTCAGTTAATAGTACCTCACATCCCACATTACTTCAACTATTTTGACTGTTTTGTCGCTTTAAAGTCTTAAATATGTTTGTCTTGGACGTGGTAACACAGTTCTCTTCACCCATTTAATAAAATTTCTGACCAAACTTTGGAGTATAATACAACCCCTGATATTCATATCAACCGCAGTTAATGGGTTAATTTCAACATTTTGTGGATTCGATTAAGCAACCTCATCAGGTAGAGTTTCAGTGTACGATGAAACTCACTTTTTACGCTGACTAGCCAGTTTACAAGTAGTAATTTATGCTTGCTGATCATCCAAATCAAACTTAATCTTCATATCAGTTACTATCAAATTCCTTTTAATTTACACTTGGGAAATTTTGTTAGAAGAGACAGTTAGAAGAATCACTTGAAAACCCCTCCGAATCATTTTGTCGAACAGTCTTTATATACATTTAATAGTTTGTCCTGTGTTTTATTGAAACCTTCACCCAGGACTCTTATAACGACGATTTCATGTCTCTAAATCTTCTTTGTATAGGTCTTTATTATTTAACATTGTTAGAAATGAAACTGTACTATTTGAGGCTATTTTTGTAGGATGTTAGGCCATTGATAATAAGGTTTTGTTAGACTAAACTAACAGTCACGGAGTAGAGTGGTTGATTATTGTTTTTCTTTGACTATCTTATGAAAATGGTTATTCAAATATTGGCAGATGTATATTCTCTTATTTAGTTGGAATAACTGTTGTTTATTAACTTTTATTTATTTCCATTGAGAGCCGTCCTACGATTATTGCCAGTTCCAATCCCAGGTAAAGAATTAAGGTTGAGGCTAACAACCTAATACTGTTGAAATAAATTTGTCACAAAAACATTCGCAAAAAACATACAATTATTACCACGCACAAGGATTTACACTGATGCAATCCAAATAAGCGTAAAACGTTCTTACTGGATGAGAATCTTATGTACCTACGATTAATAAAGCATCCTTCAAAGAAAAATGGTAGGGAATACAACAAACATCATCCAGTGCTTTACAATCGCCGGTGACAAAAGTGGAGATGATAAGAATTGGTTTCATGAGAGGCTTAAAGATCATCAACAATGGTGACCTATGTCGAATAATTGGCGGCCTGCTCGAGTTAGACGGCAACAGTTTGACCAATAGCTAACGTCGAAAGCATACCTTGCGGTCAGCACCTAACGTGGATTACCTCTTCATCGCGTCAAGGTACTATGGATGCTTCAAAACCGCACAACACAAAGGACGTTATTGCGGAAATATATTAGTAAGAACGAGTACAGAGAAGTTAGTGAAACCACAACTGGCATACGATTAATCGATGCGCGTTGGTTGTCCTTGACTTCAACAGGAATCGATGACCTGTTCGATATTTAATGACTCAAATTCCGGATGATTTGGTTAGAACTCAGTGACGTTTCACTGAGCCTACAAGTTGAATTAGATCGTGGAAGGCTGTCCAGAAAAAGCTTTTACATCCTAGAGAAACGTGAATGCGGATATGAATTACATAGGGTGTGATGACATCATCTAGCGACGTATACTGAAAGGAAAGAACAAGAAAGATTATTTCAACAATATGGTCAGAGCCAGTAGCATTTTCCCTTTAAATCAATAGACATTGCTTGATTGGCTTTGTACGAGCACGCCATGGAGAACCAGATCGATCACATTTGCATCAAAATAATTTAAAAGGTTCACGGAAGACCTAAGGTCTAAAACAAAGCTGATACATCTGCGGATCACCATTTGTTGGTGATCAAATTGAATTTAGAGAATGCCAAAAAGCTGAACAAACAGTAAAGCATAAACATGTCACAGCCTCTCTTTGAGAAACTGGCAAGTTCGAAGAATGTAAGATAGCTTTTAGCAACAATTTCCAAGTCTTGGACACCCAATCAAAGAAAGACTAGAGAAGTAATGTCTTCACATTGTGGGGAGTATGTCTTTATAGACAGCACAGACAAGATTGCACAATAAAAAATAAGGCAGCAGTTAACCACAACCAAACGAGATCAGAGAACATCAAGGCAATAGAAAAATATACAGATGAAATATCCAGAAGATGTGAAATTCATTGTTAAAAAAGCTGGAAAGGAAGAAAACATAAAAGACCTATATTGCGAAATAGAGAAACTAGCAGGTAAGTATGACTAGACGGAGCGACTAGCAAGGAATATAAAAGAAAACTCCGTTTCTGAGTATCAAGACCAAATTAACTAGCTCTTAAAAGGACCAGCTAGATTGATTATGTAAAAATGTAAGCTCAGTGGTTAAAAGTCGGTCAAAACTTCCGATAATGTCAAAATATTGTAGTTTAAGTATTTATTTACTTTATTATTTCCCACATAAATTATGTTTTCCATTATTCTATATAGAACACTGAAAATCTTGTGTATTAAAATAATTAAAACGACAAATTAGAAAGACCAAATTTATCAGCCCATTTCTAGCGTGGTATCGAATTGGGATTAACTATGAACACCGCTACCAAGAAACACGTGCCAGGTAAATCAGAAGGCGATGGTTGAACGTAACCAGATTTATTTGGTTGGCGATCTCGTGGTATTGAACGAATACCAAGATCGTGCCAAGGAAGAGTACAAGCGGAAGCAGGAGAAAGAAGTACGTGCGAACAGTACCAAAAACCGCGGAACAATGATGGAAGGTAATGGAAGCACAAAATGGCTATGATTAGCACAGTTAAACAAAAGCACATCAAAACAAACACTGGTACAGTTGGTTATAATAATAATTGTTTTTATTAAACCAGTCGTGTTCTCGTGATAAATGTGAGTCACTACAGGAGCCGCCCGCTAGAAAGGGTTTACACTTTCGATAAATAGCGGTTTAAATCGTGGGACTGATCGGCTGACGAGCGATTGTAGGACGGAAGAATTGGCGAACAGGAAAGCGATCGTTGATCGTCGAGTTGCCAACGAAGGTCGTTTTCGGAGAACGGTACCAGGAGCGATGTGCTGTATATTTTTGCTTGAGTTGGCATGCCACACGAGTGGTTTGTATCCAGAATCTGAAGATTTCGTTCGTAGGGGTCCGGACCAGAAACGTTGCAGACGTAGGACGAAACCACGTTGAGCCAAAAGACCAGAAGCGACCGTAACGACCAAGTTCGAGACCAAGCGTATGCCAAGCATTCGAAACAAAAATATCGACTGGGCACGTTGACAAGAGCGTGGGTGGCCAATCCAGCTTTCGCCAAAGTTGACTGAAGTCGACGGAACCAAACGGAGATGGTCGATGGCGTGGGCTCAGGAAACAAAAGGAAAATCAAAAAAGAGAAGAGTGTAGCATGCGTGTAGCATAGGAATAATCCTACACCGTATCGGTTGTTGACTGTGCGACTAGTCGCGGAAGCGTACGGGCAAACGTACTCGGCGACCGGAACGTGAGACGATAGTCTCGTTCGTATCTCGTGAGCCTGCAATCTCGTTCGAGGTCAGAGGCGGCGTGGTCTGCTGATCTGGACGTGAGACTGTCATCTCGTCCGTAGACGGTGCAGATGACGCGTGCTGATGACCGGGACGTGAGAATGAGGTCTCGGATGTATCTAGCGTGGGACCTGAAGACTATTTAAGGATCCCGCCAGGTTTGATAGGTCTAGCATTGAATCTCAGGGTATCAGATAGTGCACTGTCATCGACGTGTGCTGGTGTGAGACGATCAACGCTGACGATCCCGACGCGGCCGTGTCGATCAACCTTGAAGGTCTTTTCGTGACGAGCGATCACGTGAAAAGGGCCTTCGTAAGGTTGTTGCAAAGGTTTGCGTACCGAATCTACTCGTATGAAAACATGTGAACAGGTAGATAACTCTCAAGGGAGAGCGACCTGTCGATGTTGTATTCGAGTTGACACCGGAGACAGCGTTCGCATAAATGCAGACAGTCGATGGACGTAGTCTGATTTACCGAAATCAGGTCTGCTCCGTGGTGTGAAGAATTCTCCGGGCAGACGCAATGTCGTGCCGTATACCAGTTTAGCGGCGGAACATTGTATATCTGCCTTCAAGCTCGTTCGAATGCCTAAGAGGACGAGCGATAAGGTTTCGTACCAGTTGTCGTTCTCGTGTGCTCGTAGAGCACTTTCAAGTTGGCAATGAAACCGTTCAACTTAACCATTTGATGCTGGGAGGTAGACGTTAATGCGTTTACGAATGCATTCCGTACCAAGCAGCCGGGTCAGCGAGGAGAATAGTTAATAGGGGAAAATTTCTCGAATAAAGCGTGGAATTCATCGTCACGCGAATAAAAAGTGACAAGGATTCGGTACACATACATGTGAGTCTATAATATTAATACTATTCTTATCGTTATCCGTCATGTCGAGTATATTATATATTTAAAAATATGAAAATATAAGACAGACGTGGATAGATAAATCATAGGCTCACCAAATTGGCTTCTTTGGAAGATTTGACCAGAGGTTGAGGCGTGTTCCAGAACTTGGGTCACCAATTGTAGCGTGGTATCGAATTGGGATTAACTATGAACACCGCTACCAAGAAACACGTGCCAGGTAAATCAGAAGGCGATGGTTGAACGTAACCAGATTTATTTGGTTGGCGATCTCGTGGTATTGAACGAATACCAAGATCGTGCCAAGGAAGAGTACAAGCGGAAGCAGGAGAAAGAAGTACGTGCGAACAGTACCAAAAACCGCGGAACAATGATGGAAGGTAATGGAAGCACAAAATGGCTATGATTAGCACAGTTAAACAAAAGCACATCGAAACAAACACTGGTACAGTTGGTTATAATAATAATAATTGTTTTTATTAAACCAGTCGTGTTCTCGTGATAAATGTGAGTCACTACAGGAGCCGCCCGCTAGAAAGGGTTTACACTTTCGATAAATAGCGGTTTAAATCGTGGGACTGATCGGCTGACGAGCGATTGTAGGACGGAAGAATTGGCGAACAGGAAAGCGATCGTTGATCGTCGAGTTGCCAACGAAGGTCGTTTTCGGAGAACGGTACCAGGAGCGATGTGCTGTATATTTTTGCTTGAGTTGGCATGCCACACGAGTGGTTTGTATCCAGAATCTGAAGATTTCGTTCGTAGGGGTCCGGACCAGAAACGTTGCAGACGTAGGACGAAACCACTTTGAGCCAAAAGACCAGAAGCGACCGTAACGACCAAGTTCGAGACCAAGCGTATGCCAAGCATTCGAAACAAAAATATCGACTGGGCACGTTGACAAGAGCGTGGGTGGCCAATCCAGCTTTCGCCAAAGTTGACTGAAGTCGACGGAACCAAACGGAGAAGGTCGATGGCGTGGGCTCAGGAAACAAAAGGAAAATCAAAAAAGAGAAGAGTGTAGCATGCGTGTAGCATAGGAATAATCCTACACCGTATCGGTTGTTGACTGTGCGACTAGTCGCGGAAGCGTACGGGCAAACGTACTCGGCGACCGGAACGTGAGACGATAGTCTCGTTCGTATCTCGTGAGCCTGCAATCTCGTTCGAGGTCAGAGGCGGCGTGGTCTGCTGATCTGGACGTGAGACTGTCATCTCGTCCGTAGACGGTGCAGATGACGCGTGCTGATGACCGGGACGTGAGAATGAGGTCTCGGATGTATCTAGCGTGGGACCTGAAGACTATTTAAGGACCCCGCCAGGTTTGATAGGTCTAGCATTGAATCTCAGGGTATCAGATAGTGCACTGTCATCGACGTGTGCTGGTGTGAGACGATCAACGCTGACGATCCCGACGCGGCCGTGTCGATCAACCTTGAAGGTCTTTTCGTGACGAGCGATCACGTGAAAAGGGCCTTCGTAAGGTTGTTGCAAAGGTTTGCGTACCGAATCTACTCGTATGAAAACATGTGAACAGGTAGATAACTCTCAAGGGAGAGCGACCTGTCGATGTTGTATTCGAGTTGACACCGGAGACAGCGTTCGCATAAATGCAGACAGTCGATGGACGTAGTCTGATTTACCGAAATCAGGTCTGCTCCGTGGTGTGAAGAATTCTCCGGGCAGACGCAATGTCGTGCCGTATACCAGTTTAGCGGCGGAACATTGTATATCCGCCTTCAAGCTCGTTCGAATGCCTAAGAGGACGAGCGATAAGGTTTCGTACCAGTTGTCGTTCTCGTGTGCTCGTAGAGCACTTTCAAGTTGGCAATGAAACCGTTCAACTTAACCATTTGATGCTGGGAGGTAGACGTTAATGCGTTTACGAATGCATTCCGTACCAAGCAGCCGGGTCAGCGAGGAGAATAGTTAATAGGGGAAAATTTCTCGAATAAAGCGTGGAATTCATCGTCACGCGAATAAAAAGTGACAAGGATTCGGTACACATACATGTGAGTCTATAATATTAATACTATTCTTATCGTTATCCGTCATGTCGAGTATATTATATATTTAAAAATATGAAAATATAAGACAGACGTGGATAGATAAATCATAGGCTCACCAAATTGGCTTCTTTGGAAGATTTGACCAGAGGTTGAGGCGTGTTCCAGAACTTGGGTCACCAATTGTAGCGTGGTATCGAATTGGGATTAACTATGAACACCGCTACCAAGAAACACGTGCCAGGTAAATCAGAAGGCGATGGTTGAACGTAACCAGATTTATTTGGTTGGCGATCTCGTGGTATTGAACGAATACCAAGATCGTGCCAAGGAAGAGTACAAGCGGAAGCAGGAGAAAGAAGTACGTGCGAACAGTACCAAAAACCGCGGAACAATGATGAAAGGTAATGGAAGCACAAAATGGCTATGATTAGCACAGTTAAACAAAAGCACATCAAAACAAACACTGGTACAGTTGGTTATAATAATAATAATTGTTTTTATTAAACCAGTCGTGTTCTCGTGATAAATGTGAGTCACTACAGGAGCCGCCCGCTAGAAAGGGTTTACACTTTCGATAAATAGCGGTTTAAATCGTGGGACTGATCGGCTGACGAGCGATTGTAGGACGGAAGAATTGGCGAACAGGAAAGCGATCGTTGATCGTCGAGTTGCCAACGAAGGTCGTTTTCGGAGAACGGTACCAGGAGCGATGTGCTGTATATTTTTGCTTGAGTTGGCATGCCACACGAGTGGTTTGTATCCAGAATCTGAAGATTTCGTTCGTAGGGGTCCGGACCAGAAACGTTGCAGACGTAGGACGAAACCACTTTGAGCCAAAAGACCAGAAGCGACCGTAACGACCAAGTTCGAGACCAAGCGTATGCCAAGCATTCGAAACAAAAATATCGACTGGGCACGTTGACAAGAGCGTGGGTGGCCAATCCAGCTTTCGCCAAAGTTGACTGAAGTCGACGGAACCAAACGGAGAAGGTCGATGGCGTGGGCTCAGGAAACAAAAGGAAAATCAAAAAAGAGAAGAGTGTAGCATGCGTGTAGCATAGGAATAATCCTACACCGTATCGGTTGTTGACTGTGCGACTAGTCGCGGAAGCGTACGGGCAAACGTACCCAGCGACCGGAACGTGAGACGATAGTCTCGTTCGTATCTCGTGAGCCTGCAATCTCGTTCGAGGTCAGAGGCGGCGTGGTCTGCTGATCTGGACGTGAGACTGTCATCTCGTCCGTAGACGGTGCAGATGACGCGTGCTGATGACCGGGACGTGAGAATGAGGTCTCGGATGTATCTAGCGTGGGACCTGAAGACTATTTAAGGACCCCGCCAGGTTTGATAGGTCTAGCATTGAATCTCAGGGTATCAGATAGTGCACTGTCATCGACGTGTGCTGGTGTGAGACGATCAACGCTGACGATCTCGACGCGGCCGTGTCGATCAACCTTGAAGGTCTTTTCGTGACGAGCGATCACGTGAAAAGGGCCTTCGTAAGGTTGTTGCAAAGGTTTGCGTACCGAATCTACTCGTATGAAAACATGTGAACAGGTAGATAACTCTCAAGGGAGAGCGACCTGTCGATGTTGTATTCGAGTTGACACCGGAGACAGCGTTCGCATAAATGCAGACAGTCGATGGACGTAGTCTGATTTACCGAAATCAGGTCTGCTCCGTGGTGTGAAGAATTCTCCGGGCAGACGCAATGTCGTGCCGTATACCAGTTTAGCGGCGGAACATTGTATATCTGCCTTCAAGCTCGTTCGAATACCTAAGAGGACGAGCGATAAGGTTTCGTACCAGTTGTCGTTCTCGTGTGCTCGTAGAGCACTTTCAAGTTGGCAATGAAACCGTTCAACTTAACCATTTGATGCTGGGAGGTAGACGTTAATGCGTTTACGAATGCATTCCGTACCAAGCAGCCGGGTCAGCGAGGAGAATAGTTAATAGGGGAAAATTTCTCGAATAAAGCGTGGAATTCATCGTCACGCGAATAAAAAGTGACAAGGATTCGGTACACATACATGTGAGTCTATAATATTAATACTATTCTTATCGTTATCCGTCATGTCGAGTATATTATATATTTAAAAATATGAAAATATAAGACAGACGTGGATAGATAAATCATAGGCTCACCAAATTGGCTTCTTTGGAAGATTTGACCAGAGGTTGAGGCGTGTTCCAGAACTTGGGTCACCAATTGTAGCGTGGTATCGAATTGGGATTAACTATGAACACCGCTACCAAGAAACACGTGCCAGGTAAATCAGAAGGCGATGGTTGAACGTAACCAGATTTATTTGGTTGGCGATCTCGTGGTATTGAACGAATACCAAGATCGTGCCAAGGAAGAGTACAAGCGGAAGCAGGAGAAAGAAGTACGTGCGAACAGTACCAAAAACCGCGGAACAATGATGGAAGGTAATGGAAGCACAAAATGGCTATGATTAGCACAGTTAAACAAAAGCACATCAAAACAAACACTGGTACAGTTGGTTATAATAATAATAATTGTTTTTATTAAACCAGTCGTGTTCTCGTGATAAATGTGAGTCACTACAGGAGCCGCCCGCTAGAAAGGGTTTACACTTTCGATAAATAGCGGTTTAAATCGTGGGACTGATCGGCTGACGAGCGATTGTAGGACGGAAGAATTGGCGAACAGGAAAGCGATCGTTGATCGTCGAGTTGCCAACGAAGGTCGTTTTCGGAGAACGGTACCAGGAGCGATGTGCTGTATATTTTTGCTTGAGTTGGCATGCCACACGAGTGGTTTGTATCCAGAATCTGAAGATTTCGTTCGTAGGGGTCCGGACCAGAAACGTTGCAGACGTAGGACGAAACCACGTTGAGCCAAAAGACCAGAAGCGACCGTAACGACCAAGTTCGAGACCAAGCGTATGCCAAGCATTCGAAACAAAAATATCGACTGGGCACGTTGACAAGAGCGTGGGTGGCCAATCCAGCTTTCGCCAAAGTTGACTGAAGTCGACGGAACCAAACGGAGAAGGTCGATGGCGTGGGCTCAGGAAACAAAAGGAAAATCAAAAAAGAGAAGAGTGTAGCATGCGTGTAGCATAGGAATAATCCTACACCGTATCGGTTGTTGACTGTGCGACTAGTCGCGGAAGCGTACGGGCAAACGTACTCGGCGACCGGAACGTGAGACGATAGTCTCGTTCGTATCTCGTGAGCCTGCAATCTCATTCGAGGTCAGAGGCGGCGTGGTCTGCTGATCTGGACGTGAGACTGTCGTCTCGTCCGTAGACGGTGCAGATGACGCGTGCTGATGACCGGGACGTGAGAATGAGGTCTCAGATGTATCTAGCGTGGGACCTGAAGACTATTTAAGGATCCCGCTAGGTTTGATAGGTCTAGCATTGAATCTCAGGGTATCAGATAGGGCACTGTCATCGACGTGTGCTGGTTTGAGACGATCAACGCTGACGATCTCGACGCGGCCGTGTCGATCAACCTTGAAGGTCTTTTCGTGACGAGCGATCACGTGAAAAGGGCCTTCGTAAGGTTGTTGCAAAGGTTTGCGTACCGAATCTACTCGTATGAAAACATGTGAACAGGTAGATAACTCTCGAGGGAGAGCGACCTGTCGATGTTGTATTCGAGTTGACACCGGAGACAGCGTTCGCATAAATGCAGACAGTCGATGGACGTAGTCTGATTTACCGAAATCAGGTCTGCTCCGTGGTGTGAAGAATTCTCCGGGCAGACGCAATGTCGTGCCGTATACCAGTTTAGCGGCGGAACATTGTATATCTGCCTTCAAGCTCGTTCGAATACCTAAGAGGACGAGCGATAAGGTTTCGTACCAGTTGTCGTTCTCGTGTGCTCGTAGAGCACTTTCAAGTTGGCAATGAAACCGTTCAACTTAACCATTTGATGCTGGGAGGTAGACGTTAATGCGTTTACGAATGCATTCCGTACCAAGCAGCCGGGTCAGCGAGGAGAATAGTTAATAGGGGAAAATTTCTCGAATAAAGCGTGGAATTCATCGTCACGCGAATAAAAAGTGACAAGGATTCGGTACACATACATGTGAGTCTATAATATTAATACTATTCTTATCGTTATCCGTCATGTCGAGTATATTATATATTTAAAAATATGAAAATATAAGACAGACGTGGATAGATAAATCATAGGCTCACCAAATTGGCTTCTTTGGAAGATTTGACCAGAGGTTGAGGCGTGTTCCAGAACTTGGGTCACCAATTGTAGCGTGGTATCGAATTGGGATTAACTATGAACACCGCTACCAAGAAACACGTGCCAGGTAAATCAGAAGGCGATGGTTGAACGTAACCAGATTTATTTGGTTGGCGATCTCGTGGTATTGAACGAATACCAAGATCGTGCCAAGGAAGAGTACAAGCGGAAGCAGGAGAAAGAAGTACGTGCGAACAGTACCAAAAACCGCGGAACAATGATGGAAGGTAATGGAAGCACAAAATGGCTATGATTAGCACAGTTAAACAAAAGCACATCAAAACAAACACTGGTACAGTTGGTTATAATAATAATAATTGTTTTTATTAAACCAGTCGTGTTCTCGTGATAAATGTGAGTCACTACACGTTGAACATCTGTAATCATTTGGCTGATGTTCATTTCGAGTGTTCTTGAATGTCCATTACTTTATTTCTCACAAAGTGAATAACTTGATCCTCACCCGTATGTCCCAGAAAATAGATGGGGTATTCGGGTTTTATTATTTCTTTTTTCTGATTTACTGTATTTGCGTTTTTTTGGGGTTGTTGGCAAACGAGGTCTAGATTCTTGAGGTAGGATTCTCTATCCAAAATTGCGGTTAGGAAGTCATTAATATAATATTGCAAGACGTCCAAATCTCTGAATGCGTCATCAATCAATCCTTGACGAGTCTGCACAGCATTTCTTAAACCGAAAGGTATGAGCAGAAATCTGTGAAGTTCAGAACAGTGAAGTAAGCCGTTCTAGGAATGGTTGCCGTAGTCATAGGAATTTGATTACTCTCTTTCACTAGGTCAGTTTGATAAACGACAGTCATACCTTTTTAAGATGGTTACCAGATAGTGGATGTGGGACGGGAGGTAACGATCGTGATTGTTTTTTGTGTTTACTCGTCAATAATCATCATTTGGACAAAAGTCATTGTTATTCATTTTGGGGACCGTATGCAAAGGAGATGCCTATGAATTGCTTGATGGCAGAATAATGCCTAACTTTATTATATGACCAAATTTGTTCTGGGCTGGTCTAAGCATTTCAGAAGCTAGTCGATGATCTTTTGAGAATTCATGTGGTCCTGTAGTACAGCTGTGATATGCAATAATGCCCGTTACACCACGCAATTTTGATCGCGTTTTGTACAATCAAGAGTACTTGTTGATCATTTGTTTGAAGTGTAGATGAATTTAAAGATGCCTCGAGTGTTCGACGTTTGACAAGCTCTTTACACGTAACATCTTTGTAATCGAAGTACCCCAAACCAGTCAAATCAGAAACGAAGAGGTTCGAAGATATATTTAAAGGACCATGGATATATCGGGAAGCGTTTGATCTAAGCTGGTTAACAGTCGTAAGATATTCGTAGCACGGCGTGCCTACTCGTCATCTGGTGAGAAACGCTTTCAAATGGATTTATCCATTGAAACCACTTAGGTCAGCATCAAGCGGAAATTTATTTATTTATTTACCGCTGCAGATTAATTGCCTAAACATGACCATCCATAACATGCGACCAAAAAATGAAGCTACTAAAACAGATAGTTTGGTATCGCTGTCTACCTACACCCCTTTGCTTGGATCAACGAGCGGGCCAAGGTTCATTCTAACGACTGGCATTTAGACGAACGCAACAACAAAATACCCAATGAGTAGGTTTACGTAAACCCACGTTATGGTAAACATACCTTTTAACGTAGGTGGCGGTTAGTTCGGGGTTCAGTGAGTGAGTATCTTTAGTTAGGTGTATGTCTGGCAAAAATAACGAGATGAACATCAATGCGGAAAACTTATAAAACCATTAGTTTTGGGTATTTAGTTACCACTACAATTTCTTCGTCTAAGGTTCGTCGGCTAATAATAATCACTTTTAAATAAAATACCGAATTCGCATATTACTTGGATGACTTTAATGGTATCAACTTTACTCGTCCAGTTTCTTTCAGGAGCTTTCACTCTCGTTCTAGACAACTGTATCAACTCATACTTGACATCAAAGTGCATTTCCACAATTGTCATATAAGTTTGTTCTCGCATTACTGTTATTATTAATATTTGGGAAATAGCTAGATGAAGAATGATCTGTTATGTATCACAATGTCAGTGTATAATAAACTGTTTTGTTTTTCTTCTCTCCTCATTGACAAAATCGAAGGTTGGTCGAAGTTAACCAATAGTTTTAGTGGACGTGGAGTCGCGGTGGTTTGTATTGTTGGTTTTACAGTTATCCGAAGTCTTATTCATATTTTCCCCAGTTTCGACTCACTTTAATTGCGTCGACTGGTTGTTTGTTCACTGTCTACTGTTATCAACTTTTTCACTTCCTCTCCATACTGCATTCACAGTACCCATCAGTTATTAGGCTCAATTTCTTCCTCTTCCTCCTGGATTCGTGGTTGATTCGAGTACTACTACTGAAATTACATTCATCTTTGCAATATAATTAGTACGTATCTGCGGACTAAAAGCAAACCCACAAACGACTAGGCGTCAAAATGTTACTTTTACTGGTTGTATTACTTAATAATATCATATGCCCAACATTAGCTATATATCCAGATGATGATTGCAATAAGTGCAAACATGCTGCAAAAAGTTTTATCTTAGGATTTCACAAATCAGCTGGCAAAAATTTTGGAGGAGGGAATTCTTTGTGGGAAGAAAAGCACTTAGGGAGCTATTCTGTTAGCGAAGTGCGCTACCACGATATTGTTGAAGGGATCTGTAGTGATGTCAAGCAAGCAGTTAAATGTCATGAGTTTTTAGAAAGTATTGAGCATCATTTAGAAGATTGGTGGCTTAGGGAATACAGGATTGATTCTAATAAAGTAGAAAGGTTTGAGGAAGATTTATGCGTCACTCGGACCAAGTTTTGCTGTCCTGCCAACTCCTTTGGGAATTCTTGTCTTCCATGTCATCCATGTTACTTTTTTGGTGGCAGGTGTGATGGTAATGGGACACGTTCTGGAACAGGTAATTGTATTTGCAACGACGGATATACAGGAGAGTTATGCGACAAGTGCACCTTTGAAACTCATTTCCAGTCCCACAGTGACTTCCCAATATCATGCACACGATGTCATTTGTCGTGCTCCGGTGGTTGTTCTGGTCCATTTCCTGAAAACTGTTCTGCGTGTGCCGCTGGATGGGTCAAAGTAGACTCCGGTGATCAACGAGGATGTGTTGATATAAATGAATGTATTGATAGTCCTTGCAACAGGTCTACACATTTTTGCTTAAACAAACCTGGTTCTTACGAATGTGTTCCCTGTCATCCTGCTTGTAACAAATGTTCTGGTTCGACTGCGAACGATTGTGAATCTTGTGCAAGCGGTTACCAAAGAGGAAACGGAGACGTATGTGAAGATATAAACGAATGTAATGCTGACAGCAATATTTGTAATAGCGAAGGAGAAAGTTGCACGAACACAGTTGGTAGTTTTAAATGTGATTGCAAGAGTGGATATAAGCGGACTAGTAGTGGGTGCGTGTTGGATGTAAAGCCAAGGAAAGGTTCGCAAACATCTGGTAAGTTTGAATCACAGTCAACAGTTCATAACATTAACTCACGCAATCGTAACACGCAAAGAATAATATGGACTGTAACTTATACGAAAGAATTCCTCAAATACTCTGCTTCTCTAGCTGCATTTGGCACCTTTTGCTGGTTTGCTAAGGGACACCCTTTCGCAATTCTGTTTGCGTCACTACTAATCGGCTCATTTGTGTATTTTCAGAGCATTAACTTTGATTTCGTATTTGCTAACCAGAAATAGACACTATTCCTTATTAAATTTTGTAATTTTCCCCTACAGAAAATATGAGAACTAGATGAGATGTTAATGAAGATGATACTGTGAAAACAGGGACACTATTCTAACCATTTTTTTGAAGAACTCTGACTTAAGAGTAATATCCCATCTTTCCGTCCAATACAAATTTTAAGCATGGCTACTAAATGTATCCACTTTATAAACTTCGTGAATTTCATGTGTCTTTGATATTTTCTATATGCTCAAGTTTTTATCATGGTACCTCAGATACGGTTTAATGTTACCTTTTGTACACAAACTGTTCTGTATTTTTAAAATTCGTGTGTTTTGCTAGTCATTCTCAAGATATTTTAATCAGTCAACACTGATAAATTCCTTTACCTCAGAATGTCTTTTTTCTTGCCTCTTTAATGGAAGTTATCACTGAATCGGCCTGAAAGTTATGTAGAAATAGTGTTAAGAATATGTAGAGTGTCTCCGATCGAAACACTGTGTGCCACTTACTAGCGTTCTTTGTTCTAGCTGTTCAAGTCTTAATTCCGCTATCTTTACTTGCTTTACAATAGATGTATTTCTGGACTTCTTACATGAGTGATTACTGGGTTTCATTTCGCTTGTTTATTCCTTAGAAGAGTCAGTTACAAAAAATGACTTGTCAAAAATTTTTACTCCTGCCATAAAGCCCACGTTGTTCGCTATGCGATTTCTGTTTATATCTTGAATATATTAGTGTGTAATATCCATTCAGGTACTGTTTATCGTTACCTTAGTAGGGTTTTTTTCCAGTATTGCGGTTTGCCTCGACCTTTAAGGGACAAGGTAATACTTTAAGTTATTTCTAATGCTTCTTGGGTCCTTATAACAATGAGGGCTAATAAAAATAAGTTATTTGTCTTCACTGTTTAGAAATAGTCGTATGTCAGAATAAGTACCCCGTTTCACAAGTTTTTAGATCTAATAATAGCTATAATGTGCATGAATATCTTTAACAAAACTACTTTATAAATTTGTTAGTCTGATGGTTCGGGAAAGAAAACTTGGGATTTATGAAGTTGACTGTTGAATAACCATATGGCGTGTATAAACCCTTATGCATGTCTTGTACTTGTAATGTGTTTCCTCTCCACCGTTATGGTTCACGGGAAACATCATTCCGAGTGTATGTTTGTCAAGTGATTAGGACATTAAGTGATTTAATGATTATATTTACTACACACTGTAATTTGACAAATAGGGGACCTTCAGGTGGTAATGAAACAATTTTTTATATTGCGGAGTTTATGAAATAGCTGTGTTGACACTGGTCGATAAGCTGTTTGAAATGCTAAATATCTAACAATTACAGTTAGCTAACACTAAAAGAAATAGAAGAGAAGAAAAGTCGTGCCAATTCCATTGACTGTATACAGTAGTAAATTGGGGTAAAACAAAGTTATTGTTATCTCCACTTCAACACAACCTTAGTAGGAATTTTTAACGATTAAACGTTCTTAAGTAGTTTATTAAATAATACTAGACAAAGACGTTTAATTACTCATGTAAAGATTAGGATAAATGTTTTAAAAAATGACTAAAGGCTTTATCTTCAGGTTTCGTGTGACATACGAAGTGGGTCGTCCCGTTTTTCTAAATAACTTCGATAAAAATTAAAACGAAAAAAATCAATATCTCAAGTCTTGAGACTTAACAATTTTACGTTTTTTGGGAGCGAGTTTCTTTAAGAGTAGAGTTTTATTTTAGTTTACCTATGCACTAAGGTAATCCCCATTCGGAAAGGAAGTTACAGGAATATGGTATTGAACATTTCAGTCATCTTTAAGAAAGGGAAATATCAATCACTGTTTCATATTATCTTTAATAACAATGACTTAGCTACAATTGTATATGATAGGGATGTCTTTGTCACATTTGTATAGTTTCGAGACGTGTAATGATTGCAAGTTGTGTGCTACAGTAAACCGACCAGTCTATGTTTTAACATTTTCTGGTGAATATTAACTGAGAATTATCCTTTGCTAAGGAGAATCGATGGAATCATGCTTTCATTTTCTTTGGGTTTAGAAGGTACTTTATTTGAAACAGCTGTCTGAATTACCATCATACATGACCAAGCTACGATCAACTATCTAGTTGTGGTTTTTATAACTAACTCACTTCATAATGACGATAAGTGTTACTCTACTTTTTGTAGGGCTGCACAATATTAAACATGGTCCACCAGTGTTCCTCATTGTGCCGCTAAAAGCTGTGCTGGTTTCAGAGAGCCTGGTCCTCTCAAAAAACTACCCTCTTGCAGAGTATGTTTATGACCTCGAAGTCGGGGTATGGATCAGTGGTTAAAGAATTGGACTTAGACCCACTAAATACTGGTTCAAACCTCATCCTATCTGCTGTAGTTTGGTCATCTGGGTATTGCCAATAGCCCTTAAATAAATGTTTATTCAGTAAGTGAGGTAAAATAAAACTATTGGTAGTATATACGTATATTCGTCAAGATTAGAACGAATAGTTTGACAGTAATTGAGCGCCGAGTATAGAGAAGTCATTATATGTGAAAATTATATTTGAAATATTCTCAGCGATTGAAATTTAACTAATTCCAACGTTTCGTCCAGCTAACTTGTCTGGACTTCTTCAGGGTAATAATCAAAATCAAAATTATCAAAGAAATATATAGCTTTTAACAATCAGGATTATACTGTGTTAAACCAATCATATTTGGATGTTGATTTTTTGTAAAATAGGATAAAATGAGTCAGTTAACTACAAATCATGTGATGAATTCAACTACATGGAAATACTTAACTGAGTAACAAATCGTATGTGTGTGAGTGTATAGGTATGTATGTATGTGTGAGAGATTGATATGAAGGAATAAATAAAGTTCAAGTTCAAGGATGAAAACTTGATAATGAAAGATCGATGTGCATGTCAAAACATAAATTGTATTGTTTAAAAACTCATTCAGTTCTTTCAATAATAATAACGATGCATGTGATATTAAAAACAGGTTTAAACAAGAGATAGGTTCCAAATTTACTTGTCAAACGAAATTTGCCAGGTAGTTGCCATTTGAATACCATCTTTTCGGTTCAGGCTGTTCTTGTTCGCCCATATATGCAGAGCTTCTGCTGTCAATCTTTCTTTATGGGTGTTAAAACCTTTCTGAAGTATTTTGGTCCCTTCAAAATTAATCTTGTGTCCTGTTTCTAACGCATGTAACGCTATCGCTGACTTATTTTCAAGTTTCTTTAAATCTACCGAGGATTTTGGAACATTTTTCAAGCATTGTTTGTGTTCCTTCAATCTTACATTTAATTGCCTGGATGTTTCTCCAACATAGGTAGCATTACAGTCATGACAGTGAATCTCATACACAATGTTCTGTTGTTCTTCCTTTGCTAACTTGTCCTTAACTTTCACCAATGTCGATCTTAATGTGTTATTTGCTCTAAAATACACTCTTATATCATGTTTGTTTAGAATCCGTTTGATTTCTTCTGATGTTTCACTCCGGTAAGGTATGACTACGGTGTACTTCCATTCTTTTCGTATACTTTCTAGTTTAGTTTTTCTTTCATTTTTAATAATCTTTTTTAAAAACCTTTTTGGGTAGTTGTTATCCCTAAGAGTAGAAAATACTTTATTTAATTCGGTTCGTTGGTCTTCCTTGTCTGTAACAATCTTAGTACTTCTGTTCATTAGATTTTTTACCACATTAATTTTCGTGCTCTGTGAATGGGCTGAATTAAAATCCAAGTATCTCTCGGAATGCGTTGATTTTCTGTAAACATTTATTTTTAACTTCTTATTATTGTGTCGACGTTCAACCAGACAATCTAGAAATGCTAGTTTGTGGTCAACTGATTCTAATTCCTTAGTTAGTTTAATGTTTTCAGAAATGCTGTTTGCATTGTTAAATAGTTCTTCCATACCATCCCGTTTATTGATAATAAAAATATCGTCTACATACCTTAACCATAACTTTGGTGGACATAAACTCTTTGCGATTGCACTAGTTTCTAGGGAATGCATGAATAAATTCGCTACAATCGGAGAAACTGGTGAGCCCATTGCTATACCCTCTTTCTGTCTGTAAAGTTGACCTCGAAATATGAATAAGGTAGATCTTAAACATAATTCTAAGCATTTTATAACCTCTGATGGATCTAATGGGCATCGTAAATTCAAATCTAAATCAGATTCTAAATAATCATTGATAATATCCATAGCTCGACTGATAGGTACATTAGTGAATAAGGAAGATACATCAAAACTTGCCATTATTTCGTCCTCTTCTATATCGATGGTATCAATTAAATTCTTGAATTCCATAGAGTTTTTAATTCCATGATTAATTCGTTTTTCATATGGTTTGAGAATCTTAGCTAAATATTTAGCTAGATTGTAAGTCGGTGAATTTGTATAGTCTACCACTGGTCTTAGTGGAGTATTATTCTTGTGGATCTTTGGTAGCCCATAAAATCTGCATGGATTACAACTCTTTGGATATAACGAAAAAAAAAAAAAAAATCCTAGCTTAGCTTTTAATGACTGTAAGAGTTTGCTAGTTTGCGCCTTGAGTTTATTAAGAGTTGTTCTACTTTTCGCTTCTTTGATTTGTTCATATGGACCCTCTTGTAGATGTTCTTTGGCTTTCTTCTCATACTCTGTTTTATTCATAATAACTGTAGTATTACCTTTATCTGCTCTCGTTATTATGATCGTTTTGTCCTCTCTCAGCTGTTTTAATGCGTAATATTCATTTTTATTTATGTTAGGGTTGTGAGGTTTCTGATGTAATAATGTGTTCATTATTTTATTCCTCAGTTCATTCGCTGTATCATTCGGGAGTATATTCAGCGCTGGTTCTACTGTTGGTATAACATTGAAAGGTGTTAATTTATGTCTATTTATATTGAAGTTGAGACCCTTTTTGAGTAATGATATTTCATGTGGGTTGAGAGGTCTATCCGATAAATTAACGATTATTTTATTCATATCATTTGTGTTAGATCTATTTTCCGTCTGTTGAACTTTGGTGTTTGATGAATGTTTCAATAGTTTTTCAAACTTCCTAATTTGTCGTTGTTTTGATGATTGATGATAAAATTGTTCTCTATGTTTGAAAAATTCAATTATATATGATCTTATTTCGTTCGGTGCGATAACTGACAATATGTCATCGATATTACAAACCCTTGAACGTAGTGCCTCCAAATTCATAGTGGCCTTGTGTATACGTTCTCTAATAATTTTATCATCAATCATCAAAACAACGACAAATTAGGAAGTTTGAAAAACTATTGAAACATTCATCAAACACCAAAGTTCAACAGACGGAAAATAGATCTAACACAAATGATATGAATAAAATAATTGTTAATTTATCGGATAGACCTCTCAACCCACATGAAATATCATTACTCAAAAAGGGTCTCAACTTCAATATAAATAGACATAAATTAACACCTTTCAATGTTATACCAACAGTAGAACCAGCGCTGAATATACTCCCGAATGATACAGCGAATGAACTGAGGAATAAAATAATGAACACATTATTACATCAGAAACCTCACAACCCTAACATAAATAAAAATGAATATTACGCATTAAAACAGCTGAGAGAGGACAAAACGATCATAATAACGAGAGCAGATAAAGGTAATACTACAGTTATTATGAATAAAACAGAGTATGAGAAGAAAGCCAAAGAACATCTACAAGAGGGTCCATATGAACAAATCAAAGAAGCGAAAAGTAGAACAACTCTTAATAAACTCAAGGCGCAAACTAGCAAACTCTTACAGTCATTAAAAGCTAAGCTAGGATTTTCCTTAAAAAAAATGTTATATCCAAAGAGTTGTAATCCATGCAGATTTTATGGGCTACCAAAGATCCACAAGAATAATACTCCACTAAGACCAGTGGTAGACTATACAAATTCACCGACTTACAATCTAGCTAAATATTTAGCTAAGATTCTCAAACCATATGAAAAACGAATTAATCATGGAATTAAAAACTCTATGGAATTCAAGAATTTAATTGATACCATCGATATAGAAGAGGACGAAATAATGGCAAGTTTTGATGTATCTTCCTTATTCACTAATGTACCTATCAGTCGAGCTATGGATATTATCAATGATTATTTAGAATCTGATTTAGATTTGAATTTACGATGCCCATTAGATCCATCAGAGGTTATAAAATGCTTAGAATTATGTTTAAGATCTACCTTATTCATATTTCGAGGTCAACTTTACAGACAGAAAGAGGGTATAGCAATGGGCTCACCAGTTTCTCCGATTGTAGCGAATTTATTCATGCATTCCCTAGAAACTAGTGCAATCGCAAAGAGTTTATGTCCACCAAAGTTATGGTTAAGGTATGTAGACGATATTTTTATTATCAATAAACGGGATGGTATGGAAGAACTATTTAACAATGCAAACAGCATTTCTGAAAACATTAAACTAACTAAGGAATTAGAATCAGTTGACCACAAACTAGCATTTCTAGATTGTCTGGTTGAACGTCGACACAATAATAAGAAGTTAAAAATAAATGTTTACAGAAAATCAACGCATTCCGAGAGATACTTGGATTTTAATTCAGCCCATTCACAGAGCACGAAAATTAATGTGGTAAAAAATCTAATGAACAGAAGTACTAAGATTGTTACAGACAAGGAAGACCAACGAACCGAATTAAATAAAGTATTTTCTACTCTTAGGGATAACAACTACCCAAAAAGGTTTTTAAAAAAGATTATTAAAAATGAAAGAAAAACTAAACTAGAAAGTATACGAAAAGAATGGAAGTACACCGTAGTCATACCTTACCGGAGTGAAACATCAGAAGAAATCAAACGGATTCTAAACAAACATGATATAAGAGTGTATTTTAGAGCAAATAACACATTAAGATCGACATTGGTGAAAGTTAAGGACAAGTTAGCAAAGGAAGAACAACAGAACATTGTGTATGAGATTCACTGTCATGACTGTAATGCTACCTATGTTGGAGAAACATCCAGGCAATTAAATGTAAGATTGAAGGAACACAAACAATGCTTGAAAAATGTTCCAAAATCCTCGGTAGATTTAAAGAAACTTGAAAATAAGTCAGCGATAGCGTTACATGCGTTAGAAACAGGACACAAGATTAATTTTGAAGGGACCAAAATACTTCAGAAAGGTTTTAACACCCATAAAGAAAGATTGACAGCAGAAGCTCTGCATATATGGGCGAACAAGAACAGCCTGAACCGAAAAGATGGTATTCAAATGGCAACTACCTGGCAAATTTCGTTTGACAAGTAAATTTGGAACCTATCTCTTGTTTAAACCTGTTTTTAATATCACATGCATCGTTATTATTATTGAAAGAACTGAATGAGTTTTTAAACAATACAATTTATGTTTTGACATGCACATCGATCTTTCATTATCAAGTTTTCATCCTTGAACTTGAACTTTATTTATTCCTTCATATCAATCTCTCACACATACATACATACCTATACACTCACACACATACGATTTGTTACTCAGTTAAGTATTTCCATGTAGTTGAATTCATCACATGATTTGTAGTTAACTGACTCATTTTATCCTATTTTACAAAAAATCAACATCCAAATATGATTGGTTTAACACAGTATAATCCTGATTGTTAAAAGCTATATATTTCTTTGATAATTTTGATTTTGATTATTACCCTGAAGAAGTCCAGACAAGTTAGCTGGACGAAACGTTGGAATTAGTTAAATTTCAATCGCTGAGAATATTTCAAATATAATTTTCACATATATTGGTAGTATAGTTATATCAGGAATATCTAATCAATCAGTCTTTTGGAAAATGACTGATATGTATCCAGTAGGTGAATAATCTTAAGTGTGTACGTAAGTTTTCAGGCTAATCATTTATTAAGTCTTTGAAATCTAATCTAGACATGTTTAATGCACGGTGTTTGTTCGCTTTTGTATCGTGTCGGAACAACAATGGTTATATACCAGTATTTTACTGGAGTGTTTTTTCCGAGCTATATGCTGTATAAGATCCATTTAAATGTCAGGAGTTGCTTTAATTTTGAAAAAAAATTTGTTACTTAAGTAAGTATCATGCTTAACGAGACTTGTCCAAAATAACGAGAAATAGTCCCGAAATCACTTGAATCGTTGCGGTTAAATATGCCTTTTTTTATCTCGGTTTTTATAATTCTCATCTACTTTGTGTTTTACAATCAAGCGGTTGGTTCGGTCAAGCCTCAATGCCGCCATTGTCTATTTTTCATACTGACCTCATTAGGTGAGGAGCGAAAAGAAACATCGCATCACAACAAAAAATTATATGATTTTATAAGGTCAATCAGTTTTTCTTTGTGAAACACATTATTCTTATTAACACAGGTCTTCCTAAGTAAATAAAAGTGACAACTAAATATAGTTATCAGTTGCGCGTCAATTTAGCGTTATTAGGTAAGGGATTGTATTTCGAATATTTGTAGTTAATTGTTTTGGCAGGTAAATATAATTGTCTCCATAATTCTTATATATCATATCTCCACCATGAAAATTAACGTAAGGCAAATAATGAGTGCATGAATAGTTCGCTAACATTTAAATCTTTATAAAACTGTTGTTAACTGCATATTTCTAATGAATAAAGTTTATAATTTCATATATGAAAAATAAACAGACTGATTTTATAGGTAAGTTCATCGTTATCAAAATACATGTTTATATACGAATATTGAATAGTCTACCATTAGAATTATGTCATGTAGTTGTAGGGTTGTTATATATATATATATATATATATATATATATATATATATATATATATATATATGGCTGAATTTACTTAGTTTTTCAAATCAAATCATGTTATACCCTCGACGTTTTAGCGATTTACAAATTTTAATAATATTTTGGAATATTATTTATCATCTAACTTTTCTGATTAATGCTAATGGTAAGCAAATTTCACATTCAATTCATATCATATATAACGTTTTAAAAATTTATCCGGAGTTGCCCTTATGCTTTACATCGATTTTATTCCTGTAAATCAGTGTTTTCCGACTAATAAGATCTAAAAATATAGTGTGAAAACTCACTAATACTGATTGAATAGGTTCCCTTTAACAGATCTATCAGCTAGTCTCCTTACGATAAGTTCTTTTCTTCAATTGTTTCGGTGAAGCAATATTCATTTTATGAGTTTCGATGTAAAGTTTGCTCATCTTCCATTGGATGGTTTTACAGATAGCCATAAATATAATAAAAAAGTTCATTGAAATCATTCGTTTTCTTGCCAAGTATTTGAGGTTTTAGATCTCAATACCTCTTATTGAAAGGGTTCTGTATCGCATAAAGATATGTTTAGCGAAAAGAGACAACCAATAGGAAGTTTTACATTTAGGCTTAAGTCCTCAAGATATGTTTATAATCTTGAGGTAGTTGGTACTCCGTGTAGGATTTGAACCCTTGTTGAAGGTGAAGTACTAAACGTAACACTAAAGCCTGAACAACATGATATTGATTGCTACTAGGCGATATATTGTCATGTAAAATAACTGACAAACTGTAGTGTGTGAAGGAACTAATGATTCCTTTGTACTTGTTGAATGCTTGATTTCGAATTCCGAATACAGTACATTCGTTCGTGCTTATCTAGTACTTCTTGATCCGATTACGTTATTTCCGGGATTTTTAGTTCATACTATAATTCAAATACTCCTAATGATCATAAAAACGTCTTTTATTCATAAAATGATGGAATGCATAGAATCTAAAGCTGCAAATAGCTCGTTCTGTTTTCTGTCAATGAACACTGATGGCCACTGAAACCTGTCTTCAAATTAAGTCAGATTGTTGACAAGTTCTTGTAAAATTTGTCTTGAGTTTAAGAACTGAATATTCAAACTTTCAAAGATTGAATTTCTAAAATAATGTTAAAGTCGTCAACTTATTTGTAATATGAGGAATGTGTGTATGGAATAAGTACAAAAAATGAATAGATGATCATATATTATCTGATATTTCTAGCTTCTGGATGCTTATCGTTTCCACAAAGTTTTGATAAAGTAGTTCCTTGATGTACATAACATCAAGTGAGGATCGACTGAATGTCCAGTCCAAGTTATGAAATGTGACAATTAATTTTTATCGTGCATACTACTTAAAAATAATAAACAGTACAAAATCTTTGATAAAAGATTTGTATTGCTTTCTGTTGTAATGTATAAACATCCCTCTCGGCATAAGTGGTAAATCAGTTATTTGTTACATAGATATGTGTATATTAAAGTCACTGCATGAGATTTCATCAGCAACTCATGATTAGGTAATTTTATGTGAAGTTTAATTACTGTTTTTAACATGTATAGATCTGTTTTATCATTCTTCCACGATCCGGTATACCAGAAGGAATCGGCTGAATAAAGTTAACTGAGGGTGCATGATGGTTGATCTATTAAATTTACTAACAAAAAATGTATTTGATTCACCTTGGGGGCGGTATTTTAAGTAAAAAAGACCTAAAACGAAGAAATATTTATTATCTTTGCTGTAGTTCTAAATTGCAATTTTCACCATACTAAAAAGATGTAATACTCTCATTAGATGATTTGATACCACAGTAGCCAGTAAGAATTTCAAGACGCAGAACTAATGGGTTTAAATAACCCGCCTCAAACATTCGTCCTTTGGGCTCTGGTGCCATGCCCCAGGTCTCCAAAACCATTGCTAATCAAGTTTCCCTTTCAGGTTCTTCAATGCGAAGTTTCCTTCCGTTATGTGGGGGGACCAGAGAGTGGCTGCCGTCCTATAACAGCACTGAAGATCCTGTTCTTCATGGTCAAACTTCATTATAACTCATTAATATTCCTATTATCACTATTAAGCATTCTTCTACAACTTAATCTTTATTGTCACGCGTTGCCATCACTGATTATTTGGGTTCGTGAAATGTTATTTCTGGTCTCTAAAGTAGGTGTTGTAGCTTACAGTGTCTGTAACCCATTCAAATTGAACAACAAGCTTCCTTAGCTAGGGCTCTAGAATATCCATGCTGTGTCTATGAAACAAGCATACAGGATCCAGGTGTAATCACTGACTTGACCTTACTTAATCAATGTAGAAGATCGGCGAGATTTGGCCGCTGGTTATTCAGTGGCTCGATAGCATCGAGACGTCAGCAAGTTCAAGATTAGAACAGGCTCTTTGGCTGGATTCGAACAGAAAGTAGCCTGTGTGCTCTTTAACTAAACGGGAAATACGAAGATAGGTACACACACTGATGTTTCTTTGTCGTCTCTACCTACTTTCCTGTCGACTGTAGTCCGAGCAACTTAAAGGGTGAGTTTTACAGAAGGTTTTCTGTTCTCCTTCGAAAAGTCAAACGGTCAGTCATAATCGTAGAAGGGTATTTTAATACCCAAGAACGTAGTCTAAACCTAGATGAAAGACACTTAGATAGGGTCTTACAGTGTTCCAGCTCAGATAACACACAACGGCGATAAACTGCTACAACTATGATCAGATAACCACGTATACTTGACGAGTACCAACTTTAATAAAAAAGAGACATCATTTGACATAGTGACCACCAAGATTGACTCAAATATACTATATTCCCACCGGCCGTACTTAGTGAGGCTCAATAAAAGACTGTCATTCATTCTGGAACACAATTTCAGACTGATCATGCTTTGTTTCGATCTCAATGGACGCACAAATTCTATAGACAAGAAGGTCCCTCAAAGTTCAATCTAGAGACGTGAAAGTCAAAAGCATATCTTAAGAACAGTTACGGAGGTAGTTCGTCAGTCGTCGAAATTATCTTCGTCTCAGTGTAGGTTGGCGTGATAGTTTATCAGCAGTGCGATCTACTAATGACTTAAACTAAAAGAATAAGAAAATTATTTGGATTTCTTTAGCATCTACTGAACTGACTGATGTTACGAAATTCAACCCATCAAGCTTAAAACACAATCAGAACTAGGAAAATCCTCAACAGTACTGGTCAGGGAAAGCTAAATACTTTCAGTCTTATCAAAGAAACAGGGAATTAAAATTTGTGTATCAGTGAGACTATTCCTGAAAAAGTTTTCATAATTATTACTGGTCCGGGGAATTTGTAAAGTGAGCATAATACTATGGAGAATGTCTTAATTGATCTCTAGCTACACTACATCTTGAAACAGTGTGAACGGGAAATCGACACGTTCCATAACTCTTAGTGAGCTTGGGAAGGCTATATCTGATTCAGGGCGATGGAGAGCAGCACGTCCTATTAGTCTAGCTCCAGATATCTTTAGGGATGGTGGTCTAGTCTTAGCACTTGGAGTGACAGATCGTAGCTAGGATCTCGGAATTGGATGTAATTCTGTCTGACCGTTCTCGATCACTTAGTGTCCCAATTTGCAGGACAGAACGAAGATTTTTTCTTGGTAAATATGGAGAAATGGGTTCGACTAAAATTATATCGATCTACCAGGTATTCACTTTTTAAACGTTCAAATAGCCGCTCTTGGGATCTAAATCAGAACAAGCAAATTAGTTAGCTATTAAATTATTAGGGCTGTCAGTCCGTTTGAAGTTGCCGAATCGGTCAAAGTACACTCGTGATGACGTTCGCAATCAAACAAGTTAAACACTGGACCATTACAATTCTGCACCTACTTAAAATAGTGAAAGAAGTCTTTTAAGATACATAAACTTAAATAGTTCATCAAGATAACAGAGTGATCATCAGTTTATACAAAGCTTTTGTACGACACCATCAGGATTACAAAATTGCCACAAAATATCTCAATTTAGATAAGAATCCTCGCAGTTTAACTCGAATTTATGTTAAGAAGATCTAACATTACTGAACAAGAAGAAACAAGAAAACTCAAAAATTCGGTAGTCTAATATCAGTTGGCTGCAAGTTAATGCCAATGTTACTTACTTACGCCTGTTACTCCTAATGAAGCATAGGCCACCGACCAGCATTCTCCGACCCACTCTGTCCTGGGCCTTCTTTTCTAGTTCCATCCAATTCTTGTTCATTTTTCTCATGTCTATCTCCATTTCCTGGTGTATGTGTTCTTTGGTTTTCCTCTTTTCCTTTGGCCTTGAGGATGCCATGTGAGGGCTTGTCTTGTGACTCAGTTGGGTGCTTCCCTCAATGTGTGTTCTATCCACTTCCAACGCTTCTTCCTCCGCTGGGATCTGGTTTGTTCTCTCCCACAGTAGGTTGTTGCTAATAGTGTCTGGCCAACAGATCCGAAGTATTTTGCGTAGACAACTGTTAATAAACACCTTTATTTTCTGGATGATGGCTTTGGTAGTTCTTAAAGTTTCTGCCCCATACAGTAGAACTGTCTTGACATTTGTATTGAAAATCCTGACCTTTGTGTTGGTTGACAGTTGTTTTGAGTTCCAGATGTTCCTCAGTTGTAAATATGCTGCTCTTGCTTCGCGGATCCGCGCCTTCTCCTCTGCATCAGATCCATCCTGTTCATCAATGATGCTGCATAGATGTGTAAAGGTTTTTACATCTTCCAAATTTTCTCCTTTAATTGTGACTGGATTGGTGCATGCTGTGTTGTATCGGAGGATTTTGCTTTTCCCTTTGTGTATAGTGAGACCTATTGCTACTGAGGCTGCTGCTACACTGGTTGTCTTTTCCTGCATTTGTTGTTGCGTTTGTGATAGAAAGGCCAGATCATCTGCGAAGTCTAGATCGTCCAGCTGCATTCTAGATGTCCACTGTATCCTGTGCTTCCCTTCAGATGTTGATGTCTTCATGATCCAGTCGATCACCAGGAGGAAGAGAAAGTATGAGAATAAGCAACCTTGCCTGACACCGGTCTTTATTTCGAACGACTTTGTCAACTGTCCTACATGCACGATATTGCAGTGTGATCCATCATATGAATTCTGTATGATATTGACTATCTTCTCAAGCACACCGTAGTGTCG